ACTGAGCATTCTTTGCCCTTGAACAATGACAATAAATCTTTTTAAGCTTCCAGTGTGCAAACAGGCCATTGCAGCACACATGCTACAGGCTCACCACCAAGGACCCCTAAGTAGGCACCTGAGGAAGTGAGACACTCCAAACATGGAAGCTGACTGATGAGACCACTGCCAAGACAATTAGCATAAAGTATGCTGACTGCTTTGGAAGGAATTTTACCAACACAGGACTGAAGACTTCTCATACAATAAACAATACACTCAATGACATAATAAAAATAACTGAGTGCTATAGTAACAAAATATTATCAATCAATCAATAACCTGTGAATTAATTATATGCAGGACTGTACTAAGTAATAAAAAGAAACCTTAAAAGCTACCTTCCATGAATCAGATCCACACAGTAGTGAGAAGACACATAAAAGGCTTATGCTACACCAGACATCACAAATATGCTATAGTGCTTGTCTCAGCAGCACATATACCAAAAATATGCTACCAACCAACTTAACCTCTCTTTCCATCTACTTTCCATGCATACGCACAATCTTATTTCATTTGCCTTTGAAACTTTTCATAAAATAATAAAAAAAAAAGTTTTGGAGATTGAAATAAAAGGACACTCTAAAAACTGGATTCTAGAAGGCTGATCCTATGATACTATAGGAATCCAAACTGGGATAAATGGGGAGATTGCAAATAAGAGCTTAGGAGCCTTCACACATGAAAATGTTTTGTTATATTTCTTTGCACTTAGAATCCTGAGTCATTTCAAAACATTCTCATTTTAACCCTAAAATGAACTGGTCCCGTAGGCTTCTGAGATGAGCACCAAACCTGTGGCACAAATATGATACAAAACCATTTTGCAACAATAAAATTCAAAAATAAACATAAATCTTTGCCTCAAGTTAAATCACCTATTTTAAAAAGCTTAATGCATTTTTTTTTCCATTTCCAATGGCTTTTTCATTAGGTTTCACCAAAATTTTCCAGGGAATCCAAGTACACACATCATGGGCAAATTCAAGCACTAAGGTGGCACTGGGAGAAGGTGACAAAGCTCTTCTGGTTACAAAAGGGAAATAACCATACCCTGAAGAAGGGTCCATGTAGAAAAGATGAACATAGCCAAAGGTCTGACATTCCTGATATTCAAAGTTTCACACAGTGCCACGCTTTTAGGCAATGAAACAACCGATTAGCCAACAAATACTTGGGAGCTTCTGCTGTGATTTCTAAACATGTCCCCAGCCATCCCCCAGAGCTAAGTATTCAAAGCTTAGCTACAGCCTGCAACATCACTGGAAGATGATAGGACCTTTAGGAGGTGGGGCCTGCCGGGAGGTCTTTAGGCCATGGGGTAGGGGTAAAGGTGACAGCCTCTTGTTCCTCCCAGCAGGGAGGCAAGCACACACAGCCCCTGTCAAGTGCACTATAGGCCCAAAGTGACACTTCTATAACTGCAAGTGAAAGTAAGCCTTTTCTCTTCAGAATTATATTATATTAACCTACGCATTTGTTATGTAACATGCAGCTGGCTAATACAGCATCTACTATGCCTTAGCAGAAAATCTAGGCATACGATATACCAGGGAAAAGCAAGAAGGCATACAGGCACACAGAAATCAGTGCCTGTGCCTCTCATAATGCTAGTGGTCTAACTAGGCACACAGCACTAATCACTGCAACGCAGGCAAAAGCAGGAAAGGTAAGGTGCCCAGGAGGTGAAAGACCAGAGCTCAGGTCCCAACTCTGTTCCGCCTCACAAGATGTCTCTCTTTTGGCAAAGCACTATCTAGGCAAGAATAAAAGCAAGTTAGATAAGACAATTTCTACAGTCTCTTCCACCCTGACTTTATGAGTACAAGTTCAAAGTCAAGGGAGGAAAGCTTTTAAGAACTGGTATAACTGAAGTTAGACATGGTGGCACACACCTGCAATCCCAGGACTTAGGAGGCTGAGGCAAGGAGGATCACTGCAAGCTTGAGACCATTCTGGGCAGTGAATTCAAGACCCATCTGGACTACATAGTAAGATCCTGTCTCCCAAAAAACCAAAAAAGAAAAAAAAATTGGTAGGACTGAATTGAACTAATGGCAGAAATGATATACCAGGAAAAAAGCAAGAAAGTAAAAGCTGAATGTCACCTGAAAGACATAAAGTGTCAAATCATGGCCACAGAAAGGAGAATGGGGCATGAATTGTTTGATAGTTATAGAGTTTTGGTTTTACAAGGTGTCTAGAGATCTACTACACAAACTATGAATACAGTTAACACCCTGAACTCACACTTAAGTGGCTAAGACACTATTTTGTATTGTGTTTTTTTTGTTTGTTTGTTTGGTAACAAGGAAAAACTCATGACTTTGCGCTTGCCAGGCAAGCACTCATGCCTCTGAGCTAAATCCCCAGCCCATATTGTGTTTTTTGTAGCATTTTAAAAACAGGAAAAAGAGGAGTCACAAAAATTAGTGCCCTAGCAGTAATCATGATGAAAAACTATTTCAAATCCATTAACTCCTAATAACCAATCTTAATCCTTATAATTTTTTCCTCCCAAATCAAAACAAAAAGTATCTTGCCCGTGGGATATGGAAGCTTCTCCCACCATAACAAAGCAGGGGAAGCATGTGGAGGAAATGAGGATGAAAAGACAATACAGACACTCAGCCTGGAGGAAACACAAAGCAGGCTATTCAAAGGAAACCTCACTGTGTCATCCCCACCTGAAATGCAGCCCAAGCTGCACACAGGCCGCTCTTTATTCCAAGGATAGAAAAAACCCAAGCTGCCTTCAAGGCCCCTGCTCCTGCCCACCTTTTCACAATTCTCCAGCTTCACCTATGCAGCTGTACCTTAAGCCTCTGGTCCCCTCCTGGAGCCCTGTTGTCAAAGAGTCTCTGTTCCGCAAACTGCTCTGATGGAACACTTCCCTTCCTGTGCATCCCGCAGGTCTCAGTTTAAATGCTATTTCTGTGACTTCCCTGACTGAACACTTGTCCGGGTTGCAGTGTAATATTGGTGTGAGCCTCCGACAATCAGCTGCTGAGGACAGGGACTATACGCACTCCCTCTCCCCCACCTCCAAGGCCAAGGCTGGTACCAAGTCACCATTCAAATATTTGTTGAATAATGAACACTAAATCTATTTTTTAAAAACAACAACAAAACATCTTAAGAGGTTTTCTTCTGAATTTCTATCTTCAGTAAGTCTCCAAAACCAAGAAACCTGAAATCTCTATGAAACTAAAAAAGTCAACTCTGGCATCTCTAAACTGCTCCAGCCTTCCTGGATCTTACAGTAAGGGTGGAGCATCAAGGACTGATAAGCTAAGCACACAGAAGCATAGCACCAATGAAGAACTGCCACTGCTAAGTTTACTGTTGTTCTTGATATCTCTTGGCATGTGCCTGCTAAATAGGAAACACTTGGGGATCATCCAAAAAGCAAAATTTCACAAGACTCAAGTATGTATGAAACACTAACTCCACTTAAACTGCTGTGTTTAAACTTCTGTGTTTCCAATGCATGTAAGAGCAACTGAAGAAGCAAAGAATCCACAAAGGCAAAGTTCCCCATATTATTATTTTAGAACTCAAACAGGAAAAACATCAAAGACATTTGTACTGTGTATCTCAAAGAAACATATCCCAAACCAAGATCTTAGAGGTTTAAATAAGGATTTCAAAATGACACTTGGAGGGACTGGGGATTTAGCTCAGCGGCATAAGCGCCAGCCTTGCAAGCAGGCAGTTGTGAGTTTAATCCCTGGTACCGATAAAAAGGAAAAAGACCAAAAAAAAGACACTTGGAATTACTTCTCAGACCTTAAAATTAAGGATATAAGAAAAAAATCATTTAATATTCCTATCTAGTCCAACATAAACACAAACTGCATCAACACTTTAGAGTTGTCTCATTTTAATCCATAAATATAGTCCCAAAAGTCCCAGTTCATATTGATTCCGCCACCTTAATATCTAACACATATTTTGAATGTACACAAATGCCATCTAATTGCTTCTCTAATGATCTAATGTATGCAGTGTTGTCCTCCATCCTTTCAAATGCACATAACACTATACAGGCACTTAAAAAGATACTTGAGTTTGGAACAACGAACTTTATTAATACTATAAACTCCTGCATTTCTATCCCTAAATAATGTCACGCCCAAGACTATTCACACAACCCTATTTCAGTTCCATCGTCACTGGATTACAAAGTCACTTTTATCAACAATGCTCAAATGAAGCTTAGTTTTCTTAGCACCACTCTCCAAACTCAAGTGGTTTTCAGTAGTGTCTTCGAGTGCAAACCAGGGTTATTAACCACACTTGCCCATATTTCAACATATTCACTTGAAGTCCTTCCCAAAAGTAGTCCCAAAGAGACTTCCATCTGCAAAAACCTGGAAGACACAAAATCTATGCTACAACATACTAACCACATCTCGGTCACAACTGGAAAGCTATTTCCTCTGGAAAGGATCTCAGTTCAAAATGTACAATTAAATGAGTTTCTACAATCAATAAAGCAGATAAAGTGCATCACTTTGGAGAGCACAGAGCAGGAGGCAACGTTCCAGTACTATAATTAAGCGGCTGCTATTCAAGATTTCTCAGCCGCCCATCCCTGTTGGTCTTGGCCACCTCGGACCACCTCAGGACCAGTGACAGTGAGTCCACAGGTGACACAACCCTCGGGGAAGAGTCCTCTCTACAGCAACTGGCTCTCGTTCTCTCTTCTCGCCCACCACGGCGGACGCGAGGTCAGGCAGGCAGCGAGGAGCCGGCCCAAAAGGCCAGGGTGGCCAGGAGCTAGGGGCGTGCAATACCCAGTGGCGACGGCTGGGCCAGGCACAGAAGCCGGCGGCGGCGGACGCTCGCCCCGGGCCTCTCCCGGCGAAGCCCCGCGGAGCCGCGCGAGACCAGACTCGGGGTCCGTCCCGGGTGGGGCGTGCGCACAGCCGCGGAGGGGGGGGGTAGGACCTCACCTTGGCTCCCGGAGGGCCGGCGCCGCCGCGGTCCCGCAGTTGCTAAGGAGAATGCTCTTCCGGGTCGCGGGAGCGCGTTCCAAAGAGCAACGGTGGCCGGGTGGAGCCAAACGCTCTGTGAGTGGGGCGAGGGCGCCGAGCGGGAAGCGGTCCGAACAGCTCTGGCCTCACTGTCTGCCCGGAGCTGGGCGGCCCGTGAGACGCCTTCCTGCCGAACCCTGGACCTCTCTCCCCGACCTGCACCTTCCCCACGCGGCCTGTCCCCGGCCTTCCAGGCTGGGCGGCACCGAGCTGTGGCACCTTGGGCTTCTAGCCCCCAGCGTGGCCATCCCAGCTCTCTCCTGTTAGGTTTTTCTTGTCCTTCTAGTTCCCCAGAGCCCCTGCTCAGGGTTAGATGCGGTGCTGGCGCTGGGGTCACAGAGGTGAGGGTCCCGAGAGCGGGCCCTGCCCTCCACATGCGGGCTGGCGACTGTGGGCGACAGTGCCCTGCCTAGCGAAGGGAGCCCCAGCGCTGCCCGAGAGATGTGCACAGTCGCGGTTAGGACAAGGCTGGCCATGGAGTCTCCCGCTAGGTGGACGGGGTTGGGGCCAGTGTTTCATGTAAGAGTGGACGCGAGGCCGATACCCCAAGAGAGATGGCTCAGGTTGGATCCCGGGGAAACACCAACATATAAATGTGCGAAAAGAAGAAACCCCCAGAGAGCAGCCTGGAGACAAGAAAGAATGTCAGTAAGAAACTAGTCGCCAGTCAAACTCTGTGGAGCTCAATTGTCCTGATTGTGGTGCCCATTGAATAATCAACAATCAGGAATTCAATGACAAAAGGCCCTTTGAATCTGTCCACCACCTTACTGGATCAGGAAAAAGAAATACATTAAATTCTCTGTTTTTTTTAATGCTTTAAAAAAAACTGCCATATTATAAGTAAATTTCAGGATTGTCCTGCTAATAACTGAGTGTCTTGAAGATGGGAAACATTTAACTTTATATCTACAGTGCTTGCCATATGCCCAGTGTGTTGGTTTAAAAAGAGTAAGTCAACCCAAAGAGTCTCTGGTTTTTAACATTCTTCCAAATCCTTCCAGAACCCTCAGCCAAACCATGGTGTAGGCAAAACTTGTCTGTTCAAAGTAGAGGATGGAAGAAGTCCAGCAGGGATTTAGTGGCTGGGAGAGAAGCCAACTGAACTTGGGAATGGGAAGATCCAGAAGAGGAAGAGAACAAAGGATTGAATCAATGAAATGTGAGGTTTCGGGACTAGAAATGGAGAGGCAGACGAAACCAAAAATTGAAGCAGGAATAGAGGAGAGGAAAGAGAGCTGAGAAACTTCCCTACATTTTGATTGGACAAATTGGGCAGAAGATGTAGTGATAGCCCCTGATGAAAGGCTGCAGGGCTCAGGTGGACATGTGCCCGAGCCCTTGTGTCCAGCACACCTAGCTTCCTTGTGGTCTAAAGGAAGAACACAGTACCCTGTGAGTGACCTGGGGGAAGAGGCTGGTCCCACAAACACACCTACAGTGCATAAACTCAGAGTGTTCCCATTATGACAGTTTTACAATAAGCTTTCCCAGCAGAGGCTGAAGTGATGTTTTCATCTGGGAGGCTATAAATCTATCCACAATAAATTACCAGCTATCTGTGTGAGTGAACCAAAAACTTCATAACGTGTGGCTGAAGAATTTTGAAACACCCAAACACCCAGTGAAGGAGGCTGTCTTAATCCACTAGGGCTGCCAGAACAATATGAGACAGATTGGTTTATGACTTCTCATGAATTTGGAGACCGAGAAGTCCAAAATCAAGCACATGTCCACCTGAGCCCTGCAGCCTTTCATCAGGAAATTTCAATCAAAATATAGGGAAGTTTTTCAGCTTTCTTTCCTCTCCTTTATTCCGGCTCCAATTTTTGGTTTCGCCTGCCTCTCCATTTCTAGTCCTGAAACCTCACGTTTCATGGGCCTAACTCCTGATTTGTGGTCAGCTATCTGTCCAGTGAGTCCCCAGGTGCAGAAGAAGCAGGAAGCTCACTAAAGAGCCTTTTATAAAAGGAGACTAATCCTAATCATAAGGACTTTGCTTGTGATTTAGTCAGCTACCAAGCCAGGTGTGATGACACACATCTGCAATCCTAGCACCTCAGGAGGCTGAGGCAGGAGAATGGGGCCAGGCTAGGCTATGTAGTGAGTTCAATGCTAGCCTAAACTATAGCCTACACTGTAAAATAGAACTCCAAACTGAGCACACAGCATCAGCCCACTTCCTCCTCTTCAGCCCAAAAGAAGTGATGTGATTTTCAGGTGCCAGCTCCAGGATACTAGGGGCCTGGTTTGTTTTCCACAAGAAAAGATAAGCCAAAGATAGAGCAGATGTGGAGATGTGAGTTCTCTTTCTCTGCTGCCTCCTCCTCATTGTTCCTTACTTTAAAGAACCCTTGCCCAGACAGTGAAACAAGGCAAACGGGCCCCTCCATTGCCTCAGAACTAGCTTTCAATAAATCCTTTTTTTCTTTTTACCCAAATGTATGGCATCCTTTGATTTGGTCAGCAGTGAGTAAACAACCTGAGCATATGAGCCTAAGCTGCCAGTATCAGAAATACATAGCAAGATGCTGTCTCAAAAGACCGAAATAAGTTAGTAATCACCTACCAAAGGCCCCACCTGCTAATACTATGCTTTTAGAGGTTAGGATTCCAATATATGAATTGGAGTGAGGCACAGACATTCTACCTATAGCAGGGGTCCTACAAGTAACCCCAGCAAGATAGGGTCAGAAATTGGTTATGACTTTGTAAAAAAAAAAAAAAAAAAAAAAAACAGTTGTTTTGTGAACAAAAAAGACAGACGTTCACTCCCAATATAGGAAGAAAATGCCTACACAAATGAAAGCGATGAAAGAATATTCCTAGCACCGCATCTATTCTAAAGGACTCTGTTCTGCTGAAGGGGCAGGGTGATTCATTAGGCTCCACTTAGTGGGGTTCTGGGGAATCTTAGTAGTTCCTCTAGAAGCGGAAATTTACCATGGCCATGAAGAGCATAATGGTAAAGAACCACAGATGCTGTGGACACCACATCTCAGGGAGATACTCATTCTCTGACTTCAGTCCCTGGATGCTGGATGGCCTGTTGATGATGGAAAATGCTTTGAGAAATGCCCACAAGATCCAGAGTATGAGTTGGACCAGAATTACTCACATGCGCCCTGTTGGCTATGTCAGAAGCCATCTGCAGCCCCAGAGGAATTCCAGTTTGTCTTTGGGAGGGACTGCATCTGTGTCTTAGTTTGAGATGTTGTACCTTTAAGCAATGAATGTTATTTCTCCCAGTTCCAGAGGCTGAGAAGTCCAAGATCAAGGAAGCAGCTTGCATTGTCTGATTGTGTCCCACTTCCTGATTCCTAATTCTGTCCTCACAGGACCAGAAGAGGGCCAGCCAGCTCTCCAGCTTCTCATAAAAGCTAAAGACCATGCCTCTCATCACACTGGGATTAAGTTTCCAGCCTATGCATGGGGAGGGCACAAATGTCATTCTCTTATGCAGTCCCAGCCTTCTGGGTATTTTGGGGTGATAGCCAATGGCTAGCCCAACCTGACTTTAATTCCTGAGTGTTCCACCCACCACCTAGGCTTCTGGCCTGACATCCGCCCATTCGAAAAAGCAAACCTGAAGAAGTCATCCCTGACTGCATTTCCCCTTATCCCACCCTCACCTGCCAGTCGAGTCCATGAGCAAACTCTGGAGATCATCTTATTCCCCCCACCCAGTCCCACTGCCACCAGTGATAGTGAAGTTAGTAACTAAGCAACTCAGAATCAATAAAAATGTTGCAACCTCAAAGATGAACCCGAGCGATAAAGGTGGTGTACGTGTATGCACCTGCGTTGTATGTGGAAACAGCACAGGAACTACAGGGAACTATAAGTCATCATGAAGGAAGTTGGAGATAAGGAGAGGACCATGAAATGAGATGAAGGAAACCTAAGGTAGCATTGAACGAGTTCCAACAACCAGAAGGAGGGATCGCTCCAGTTTGGGAGGCTCCCACTCAGCTGTTGGATGTGCTCAGCTGCCGGGAGCCAGCTGTTCACCCCGTGGGCTGCGAGTGCTGTGGGTGGACAGTGACGATCTAGTCATTGTCGAGTAGCCTACCTGGCTCCAGCATCTAGATCCACCCAGAACAATGTATTCCCAACTTGCAGTCGTTGTCAAATTATAAGTTTTGTTCTTGCCTCAGTTTCATATGTTTTCTTCTTTCTAGTATTTTTTCTCCCTCCTTTTTCTGTGGGTGTGCAAGCACACATGTCCAGATGGTTGAACCGAGGGCCGCACTGCCTGTGACTTTCAGCCCCTCCTTTTTTGTATTTCATTTTGACACAGTTTCTCACTGATCACCCAGGCAGGACTTGAACTTGTGATCCTCTGCCTCCGCCTCCCCTTGCACTACAGGGATGTGTCACTGTGCTGGATTCCTCTTCCTTTTCCTTTTTTTTTTTTTTTTTTTTTTTTGAGAGAGAGTTTCACTATGCAGTTCAGCTGGCCTTGAGCTCACTTTGTAGCCCAGGCTAGTTTTGAACTTGCAAGGATCCTCCTGCTTCAGCCTCCTGAGTGCTGGTATTACAGGTATGTGCCACCATACCGGGCCCTCTTAGCTTTTAAAACCTGAAATCTACTAGAACTTTTTTTGTTTTTAGTCTCTTAGATTTTAGGCTTTTACCATAATTTTTCTTTTACTTTACTATTTAAAATTCCATCTTTTTAAAATCAGACACATGTAAATACTGCATTGTTTCACTAATATGAGACATGGAAAGTGTAAACAAGGACAAAATATAGAATAAATATTGTGAAATAGGAAGAAAATGTTCAAACTGGAAGGAAAACTAGGGAGGAGCAAAGGAAATATGGGGAAAGAAAAAAACTATGAGAAAAGAGGAAAAAATGGAAATAAACCTTTTGTAAATAAGGAGAAGAGTTGAAGGAAGGGTAGAAGGATGGGGGGAAAGAATCAAGGTATAAAATGTACAGGTACAAATACCCTGGGGTGATCGTTATACATCTGAAATTTACCCAATCTTTATTATGAAATAAAATTTCATCTTTTTAAATACTTATTTTCTAGTGTTTTCCTCTTTTTTAAGTCATATGCTCCTTTAAATGTGGATTTTAAGGAATCTTCTCATTTACAATGTTGAGCTATTTTTTGTTTGTTTTGTTTTTCCTGCCACTGAGCTACATCTCAATGCTTTTTAAATTTTTATTTTTGAGGCTATTCTTTCTGAAATTTTAGTCCTATATTCTTAGCTTTAAATTTGCCTTTGCTTTTACACCATCTTACCATTTTGTTTTGTCTTTCGCCTATCTCCAGATTGCACATTTCTTCTGGTTTTGAATGTTCTCTTTTAATCACAACCATATCTCACCAGCTAGAAATAGTATCCGATGACTTTTACATTTTGAAAGACGGAAAA